AATACGTTAACAGTAAACTCCAGGTCATTGTAAGGAGATGGAAATACAACAGGTCCTCTGCACTTTGGATAACTATTGATTTTTTTACTCCATATTCTCTACGTCTCACCCTGACTCACATAATGACTCAAGCGATGGAACGTCAATAAGCTATTTGTGGCAAAGCTACCACATTTAAAGCCACTCAACAAGACTATGCCCAACTCAACTAGCCACATTTTTTCAGTGTGCAGCAAAGATCTCCAATAATAAATACTGCAAAGGAGGATAGGTCTGCTGCCTATGTGAGTAGAACATAATACAGGTATTCTTGGAGCGGTCAGGAGGGCCTTCGACTGCACCAGCCTTTGCTAAAGAGGACCACACCAGTACTGAAATTCTTTACGGCTAGACTGAAATAGCAGACTGAATTTATTCTGAAGTCCACCTTCAAGAGATGGGCAGAAAAAAAATATCATATACGTGCTAAGGGTATGGAAGAAAGAAGTATTTTTTATCAGCTGCACTGCTACAGGCAGTTCTCAAGTACGACGTCAAGCACACAGTGCACTTTGTCCTTTGGTGAAAGCATATCATGTCTCAAAACTGACTGTAAGAAAAGCTAGAGGTACAAAAACACTCTCTTCGGTGGCAAGGCCAGTTCAAGCAGTTTTCATTTTCTTCCCCCAGAAACTTGCCCTCCATACACAGTTTGCAATTTCCTCAATTGAGCTACTTCTGTAGTCAAGCTATAAAGCAGATTGTGGGCACGTCTGCATTTGAAAAAGGCCTTCAGGATGGATTTGTAATGCATTTGCTTCAGTCCGCACCACCTGCACTGACACAACAGAACAGGAGGTGACCTGCAGTGCAGAGATGGAAATGGGTAGAGAAAGAGGTAAAGAAATTCTTCATCAGCAAAGCATCCCTTACACCTAACACTGATGTATAGCTGACCCTTCAAAATAAGCTAGTTCACATCACTTGCCAGACAGGAGGAAAAAAAGGGGGGAAAAAAAAAAAAAAAAAAAGGGGGGAAAAAAAAAAAAAAAAAGAGGGGAAAAAAAAAAGGAAAAGTAGAATCAACTTCTCCCAAGTCAGCTCTTTTCAGTATCAAAGAACAGCCCCGCTGCAATGGAGACAGCAGGGTCACACAGGCAGAGACGGGTGAGAAGCCAGAGGAGATGCAAGACCTCACCAGCCCTTCAGCGCACTGAGTCTCACTGGCAGTTTAAAGACTAGACCCAAACGCTGCAGGATAAGGAAAGTTAGGTTATGTCTGAAATACTCCTCCAAGTCAATCACATCTGAAGGCATTACTAAAGGAATCAACAGCAGCTGGATTTATTCCTGCTAAATTAAGAATCAACAGTTGAACAAATCCTCACGCTGACTCCACGAGGGATTTCTAGAGCTTTGGTCAGGGTCTGGAAATTCTACTCTAAATTGTAATTTCTACCTTGGTTGGCACAAACATCAGAATTACTGGTTTGTAAACCTCTGGATCTCGCCCAAAATTGTTTTTGAAGAAGCTGACATCCCATCAGCCACTTTCCAGTCCACTTGTACTGAGGGCGCTTTCCCGAACAGCTTACACAGCACATAAGTAGTTCAGCTATCAGTAGCTCATCTATCATCTCCGAGTTTCTTTCAGAGCTTTTATGAATACCAACCAGGCTTGAAGAGCTGTTATTAGCAAAAGTGTGGATTTCCCTTAACATTTTCTAAAAAAAAAAAAAAGTCACATCTCAGTCCTTGTTTGAGGAGATCTCTGCAAAGTTTTGGCATGGGACCTTTCAGAAGTTCCTCCACTCTTCAGAGACACGTGAAAAAATTAATTCAGGGTGTTTTCCTGCTATGGATGGCCTCACCTCTTCTGCACGCTGCTCATACTCCCCGATCTTCTCCTGAGCCTACAGTCTTTGGTAGGATCCCTGTTCCATGGTGGGTGGGTGCGAGCGTGCGTACACGTGCGTGTGTATGTGTTAGCTTTTATACCTTTGTATAATTGTGCTTTAAAATCCTTTTTGTCATACTTTATGTTTTGGGAGCAGTTGGTTTTTTTAACATTTAGCCTAACAAGTGTCACAATCCTCCTCATTCTGCTCAACTAAAAATTATTTCAGATTTTTTTTTTAAGGATGCCCTCCCTCTTTGCCTTACCTTGCTGTCCAAGCTATCCTGACTTCTTTTAGGTTTCGTTTTTTGCGTAGGGGAATACTTTCACTTAAAGAGACAAATGACATCTTTCAGTAGTTCTTGTCACCTACAAAGCTTTTATTCCTTCAGCTGTTCATTTTTGCTTCATTTTAACAAGTTTTTTTGTTTGCATGAAGAGTTAATGCTAAGTTTTGGGTTGTTAACACTTAAAAGTTTCTTCTCTCTGAAACTGTAAGCAGCAGGTGGTGTTAAAATTGTTTAAGGGAAATATTACTTCAATCTAACAATTTTATGTCTATTTATTAAAAGTGGATTAGCAGCCTTTCTAAAGGAAAAATAAGTCATCCTTTCTAACCATAACTTCTTTTCCTGTGCACTATTTAAACAATTTAGCAGCAGTAAAGGAATTAATGTTGTAGCTAATGCTACTGACATTTCAGAAACACTCTTTTCTCCAAAAAGAATCTGACAGAATCTGATCAAATCCGGGCTACATAAAATACAAACCTATGACAGCAGTTTACTAGAACATGGAATTACTCATTCTACCTGACAAAAGGTGCACACAGATATATCCCCCTCGTTAAAGATTTTATAAATTCAGCTTGGATCCATGAAACAAATGAACAGCTAACATAAGCAATGAAGCCAAGGGAATAAAAACTGACCAGTTACAGGAAAATAGAGGAGGCAACTTACAGAAGGACTTGCAAGGAAGGTGAGAACTACTCAATGTTTTAATATTTAGACCCATTTTAAGGAAACAAACACACAAAGCCTACTTGTGACTTTGTTATCTTACAGTACACTTCAAAGAATGAACAAACTATAGTGGAAATGACAAAGCTGCAGCAGTAATAGCAAATGTGCATAGCAATTTTCACAAAGAACCTCAAGATATTTTAAAATTTCACAGATCAAAACAGTAAGATGATCAAAAATGAGATGACTACGCCAGGATGCGTAAATCACTAGCAGAACTGAGATACCTTGCTTCTCTTCTGATGTGCAATATCTATGCCCCGACGTGCCTATGCTTCCACAAAAGCACTTTTTTGGCAGTCAGCTCCAAAATGCCAGGTAGCACTGCTGTCACCATGGAAGGGCAGCAAGTCATGCCGTCCTCCACGTGAGGGGACATCCTGCAGGATTTTAAGGCGTTTCCTTCATTTCATCAGCACCATTTGTATGTTCTTCTTCCAACTCAACATGCAGCGACACCAAACACTTTGAAACAACATTCCCCAGGCTGATAAGATTCAAAACTAGTTAACAGCAGATCCCAATTGCTTCACATAGGCAGTGCTAACTTAAATATTCTAGAGTAAGTAAAAATTAACAATAAAATTGACATAATGGCTAAATAAACCAGTTTGATATCCATAATAAGAAACCTCTCAAGCGTTTGGCTGATGAGAAAGGTATCACGTGCTTCTCAAAAGCACAGTGCTAACTACAGCAGTAAGTGAAAGATGCAAACCCCCTGGTAATTATGCAAATAATATTCTCCATTATAAATCTTCAGCTCCTCATTAGGTTGAGGCCACAAAACCCTTGTCTCTCCTGCACAATATTAAGAATCCGAGGGTTTAAGGCATAAGACTAAGGCCATACCTTGATCATAATTCCTCTCCGCTTTCCTTTGTTCCCATATTTTAAAATAACAAAATGGTAAACATTTGTTTACCATACTGCAATAATTAATCAACAATAACATTACCATAAAGGTAAAATAGCATTGGGAAACGTCTGCAAAAGATACTAACATTAGGTGTACTTCGGTGAAATTTGTTTGTTTTTAAATTGTGATTTGGAAAAATAACACGGGCAATAGATTTTTACTTACACAGCATAGACAAAGCTATTGCTTATTGAAGTGATTGGTTTTCCATGTTACCAGCCAATAAGCCTTAGAAAGCTTTGATTTTATTTCAGATACAGAGGACCAAACAAATATTTATATAGATGCTCACATAAGTAATCCCATTTATTTTATTTAATGCTCACATAAATATTTTAAACTTTTTTTCTTGAAAATACTGATTTGTTTACTATTTCTACTCAAGTAATTTAAAAAAAAAGCATATTCACACCTCAGAGAATAATGATTATTGTGACAAAGAAGAGTCAATACAGACTCAATATAGTAAGCAACCACTATAGATAAGAAGTTATAAATCTGCCAGACATTTGAAATGGACTGAAATATATAGTGTCAGTTTTCAGAGGAAGACAGCCAGCCATATTTTATAACTTCCTTGTCAGGAAGTTTTTGTACATCAGCTCTAATGAAATATGATTCTTTGATACAGAATTTTTCAGTAAGCTGGTTCCAAGGTTTGAGACAATCATCAAAAGTTAGACTTTTTGTTGTTGTTTTCTAGCACATAAGAGGCTTCAGAAATGATACTTTTTTAATTCTTACTGTTAGGCACATTTCTAGCCCAGAAATATTATGGACTTCCTTTAAATACGAAGTAATTAATTTTTAGAAAAGTTCTCTTGTATTCTGTAACTTCTTAACATAGAATAACCAAATTTAGTAAATAGACCTAGACTATCATAATACTCTTCCACCCTCTGAAAAAAGACATTTAATATTATCCACATACACAAGACGACATATTGTATTTGTAACCTTCAGAAAGGCTAGGCTCTTTCTAATCAGCTATTCTTAAACAGGGATATTTGACAAAAAAAGAAATAAAATAAAATGGCATAACTAGTAATAAAGGAAAATAAAAAAACAAAACCAAGAAGCGATCTGCTTTCCTCCTCTACCAATAGTTTGAAACAAGTCTGAAGACATATGGCTGTTTGAAAAATCTGAGAATTAATTCTACAAAAGTTTCTGAACTTACAAAACGCTGTGCCTTCTGACGCTCGTCTTCTGTCGCAGCTCTCTCTCGAAGAATGGCTCGAGTCAAATGTTCATTTGAAGAAATCCTTTCTCGTTCCAGAAGTTTGCCAAACTCATCGCGTACATACGATTGTTCTTGTTTCAATCTACAGAAGGTGAAGGGAAATTTAGATTGAAGGTATGTTTTCCAAATGTAGTTTAAAACGACAGAGGCACAGTCACTTTAAAAGCAGTCACTGTAGTAAATTATGATTGGCTTAAAGACAACCGAATATGAATATTCGCTAAAAATTCCAGAAGTCTATTTCAGATTAAAGTGTCAAAATCAAAAACCACAAATCTAACAACTCTTAGTAACACTATTAAACCACACAAAATACAATTCCTTTGACAGCTTTATGAAAATATATCTTTAATAAGAACATGCACGAAGTTCTGTTTGTTGGTTGGTTGGGTTTGTTCTATTTTTAAGGAAGCATTTTTCCAGGAAAATCCCTCTCTCTGACAGCCAGTGGGCACCCCACTTTCAGCTAAAAGCTCTGTTCTTTTCTGCAATGGGATAATGCTTTCCTATCTCTGGACATACCATAAACCCAAGTATTGCATCTATTTACCAAGCTGCAAAAAGACTGAACAACCGGAATGAAACTTCCCCAGCAATTTGAGAGGGTGAGATGAAAATAGCTATTGAATTTGTTGCGACAGAGTTAATAAAGACAACTCCGGTCCCAGAAAATTCTCAACACTTGTACATCACAAACTATAAATATATTTGAAATCTTCAGTATAGTACTTGACATAAGTACACCGCATCTAATTTTCAGGAAAATACATAGATATAAATCGTTTAGCTAACAAAACTTATCTGTTGCATGTATGTTGTGACACTGAACACAGAGGTAGCTTTAGGAAACTCAGAATAGTAATGGCAGTATCAAACACTGGTTTTCAAATAGATTTTTGAAAGAGTGATGGAGAGGAACCTTAAGTATTCTCAGTGCATTTATACGTTGTCAAGGGAGCTTCAGAGAACAAATCATAATGAGTAGGGTCACTTTGTAAAAAGGTACCAGCATTACAGTACATTAGATTCTTCCCCAGGGGAAAATATTTAAGTGAGGTGCGGAGGAAAAAAGACAATTACAAGATGTATTACTTCAGTGCTCAGACACAACCCTCTGAAACGCAGCAACCAACTGGGAATCTTTATAAAAAGTTTATTAAGCAGCATCTTCAATTACCCTAGCAAAAAAGTCAGATTATGCAGACACGGACCAAATTCCATTAAGTGATTTCCCAAGGTCCCCCAAATTATTCCAGCAGCATTGATATAACAAATCCTTCACACAATCAATGGTGCAGTCAAAACATGCTGGTTGTCTTTTCAATTGGAGAAATCATGTTTTGTCGAAAAAGAAAAAAAAGTGTCAAACTAGAAGCCTCAGCAGCTTTTTCTTGTGAGAGACAGCAGAGAAAGCACTTAGCATTTCTAGAGACTGAAGTAAACGCCTTCCTCATCCTTTCTGGATTTTACTTCCCACAAGTGGTTTTCCCCTAAAAACGTCTCCTCTTTATGCATGCTGTACCTAGAAGAGTAATTAAAATATATGAAATCAGATCATCTCTGAAGAAGGCTGCCAGAGATTTCCACACTACAAACTCTTGCAAATTAAAACAAACACTTAGATGTTTACATATAGTTCTTGGCAATTATTCCCGTATTTGACACAAGCTTAGTTAGTCTTCTCAAGTCCTCTCTTTCTTGCCCCTGGAATTACGAAGCTTCGTGAGGTCTCCTCTCAACCTCTCTTGCAAAAAGAAGAAAGTCGCTTTTCCTAACACTTAAAAATAATGGGCTCCTAATGTCAGGATAAACCCTTTGATGGCTTAACCCGACTGCTGTTACATTCAGCTTCCCTGCTAAGTACACTACAGAGGGACGGGATGTTCTTTTCTACTTTTGCCAAAACTCCGCATGTCCTTTGCTGCAAACTTGCTACAAGACGATGACCCAGAATCTCGTCTATGTTCCCGAGTCATCTGACTCCCCACCCCACGGCAAGCCGTTACAAAGCTTTCCATCAGAAGCTGACATCCCACAGAATTAGCAGACAACAGCACAGCTGTGGGTACGGCCACACCAGTGACAGAAGGGATGGCTATGTAATGGTGGCTTCCCACAAGCACAGGGCTCAGGGCAAGACTTGCTATTTCAACCTTAACCAGCCCACTTAAAATTAGTCCAGGTATCTCAATACCACCTTGTAGCCATTCCAGTTTTGAACATCTTCTTGGCCATGACCAGCTGCATCCTACCGCAGCAAGAGAGGAAAGGATGGGGAGAGGATGCCCAAAATTGGCACCTATAAAATCCCTGCCAAAGCTGGATAACCCTACACCTGATCCTGTAAGTTACTGATTTCCAAGTACACCACGTGATAAAAATCCCAGGAAAAAGGATTCTGTGCCATCCTTTGGTAATCGCGTCTCACTGTCGTTGCCAAACCGATCCCCCAAGGAATTTCCATCGCAACAGAGTAACTGATAGGAGTGCAGGGAAAGTCCCTCCCTTCCCACTCCCACCTTTGGTAATAATGCATTATATGTTTTTAACAAATTACGATCCACCCACCTCCTTTTTCCCCAACTCCCTGTATAAAATGATATTACTGAACAGTTAAGTGATGTGTTCTTTCCCAGTATATGAAGATGAAAAACAATATTTAATTCTAGCTTGCTCATTGATACCAATACCAATAATGATGTGAAATATTTACACAAAAAAATGTAAAGATTTTATCTATGTTGTTCATAACAGTTCATTCAAATTCATTTGTCTTAGTTACAGACCGCCCTTCTTCCTTAAAGTGCAATTTCTTGATGTCTTCAAAAATGTACTTATAATGGTGTAAAAGTCAGCATAAACACCCAACACAAAACTGTAAGCATTCACCAGGTCATCACCACCACCACAGTCCCCCTCGTGCAGGGGGAAAAAAAAAAAAAAAAAAAAAAAACCAAAACCACCACCCAAAAACCACCACACTCCAAACCTTTCCGCTGCCCCTATTCTGCCTGCAAGGCTGCGGCAGAAGTCCACCTTCTGGAGCTTTAGGAATGTTCTTGTAATCTCCAAACTCAATTTATACTTGCCTCATTTAAGCACATTCACTTGAGGGACAAAGATCATCTTAAGACAACAGCCTTGTTCGGTGTTCCATCTCCCATTTTTCATGCAAACAAAATCCACGCTTCCAGCCTTTTATGAGAAATGTTGTTTCCCCGATCAACCCATCAGCTCTTCCCTGCAGCTGTTGCAGAACTGCATGCTCCATTTCCAGAGGATTTCACTTCGGTCATTAACTAATACTTCCCTTTTTTTTTTTATTCCCTGCTATTTCTAGATAGAAGATTTACAATGCCAAAATATTCATTAGTTTGTTAGCAGAAGTACCTTGCACTTTCATACCACTTATCAGTTAGGAGGAGTCAGTCATTTATTTCCTCACATAAGACACCTTAACCTTCCTTTTGCAATAGTATCACTAAATGTTGTGCCACATACATCTTTCAGAAATAAAAATATTAACATTAGTTCCAAGACTGCTTTCCCAGAAATCCCATTGCCAACCGCCTGCCAGACTAATAATCTCCATTTAACATTCGTGACAAGTCTCCACCTTCTCCAGTTTAACCAGTAATTTTCTAAAGACGCCAAGTGCTTTAGCAGCCGTTGGCAAGATTAAAACAACAGAACCACAGCAGGCCTAAAGTAGCTATGTTCTTATGTGACAGGAATCAAATTATTTATTCTCTGCTGCTGCTGTTGCCCTTTAGTAAAGGTGTATTTTGTCTCTTATTTTCCATTCCCTCCTATGTCAGTAACACATCTTCTCTTCAACATCTTTGCCACTGATTTTACTTCAGCAGTTCCAGAGCTGTCTAGATTGCCTTCCACTCCCCCAAAAACATCCTTCTTTGGTAAGTGAAAACACCACCAAACCCCATCTATTTAGTTTAAAACATGCTGGAGTAAAGAAAACGAAAACCTCCACTTGACTTTCAGTAATTCTCATTTTGACTTCTTGGCTTCCTTTGGCTCCATGACTTCTGGCATAAGGCTTTCTTTGCCGATCCCTAAGTCTGCATATCCACCTGTCTTGTGGACCTTTTGGTCAACTGCAATCCTTTTTGAAGGCAGCTAGTCAACCAGCAACATTCCGAGTTCTTTCCTACAGGACTTTTCTTTCTCTCTGGCTCTGAAATGCTAGAGAGTTTTCACAGCTTTGTCTTTTCAATTCTTTGAATTTGTCTTTGTCTTTGAATTTCCAACTCTCCGCTACATTCTTCCTCCTCTACTCTACACGAAGAGTTTCTCAGCTCTTCATTTCAATTGGCTTAACTAGATGCCTCCTTTCATCGAGACGTACTTGCTGATGTCACAAAGAAATTCTGCAACGTATGTGCTCATCTCCAGAAGCAAAAGCTTGCTCCTTCACTAGAGGCTAGCTGCAAGCCAGTGTAGTTCCCTGCCTTACCGTGTCCGTTAAGTTCAACGGCTTGGCGACATCTGTGTATCCAGTTTTGCCAATGTGTTTAGGAGTGGTTTTATTAAAGTTCTAGACCAGGTCACCTCAGTCAAAGGAAGTTGCACAGCAAACATTTTACTGACTTTTTTTTATTTCCTTGCATGGCATTCTACCATAAAAGAAATTTATAGCATTTCATGATCACATTTTCTACAATTTAGGCCAAAAAGGTATTTGGTTTATATTCTTCAAAAACATCCAAGATTGCCTTGCTCATGCAGCACCTTAAAGCAAAAATTTAAAGTCTTTCCTAGGTACTCTAATCCTTATTTGTGTGATCAGGAATGTATCTCATCATACCTACAGAACAAAATATAAGGAGTTAACTTTCTGAAGCACCCACTAGACTTCTTCATTTAGGGCAACTTTTGTTCACAAAAAAAGTCCTAAATACCCATCTCAACTGATTTAAATTCACCAGAGTTTTAACAAAAGACATAGGATTTTGAACTAATTTTCATTTATTTGAGTTACATAATTGGGTGGCTTGTAGGAGCTTAATGAAACAAACACAAGGCAGATACGTACTCATCTCAAACATTTGCTTGCATCAGTGT